GTCATATATTGTATACAATGATTTGTAACTACTATACAATGAATACATACATTTGTTTCAATGATTGAGTGCCCTTACTCTGTCCTTGTTTATCTTGATTTATATATTATCATAGAAAGGAAAGGAAGAAAGTGAGCCATGAAATGTCCTGAAGCGTTTATATTTTTTTTCAAGGTACACAGAGTGGTTTTGGTTATTTGGCCTGAACTGGAAGGAAAAAAAAGAAAGAAGTCCTTCTAATCGTATTCATAGAATAATCATAAGGGGTTAAAATGCTAATAAATTAAACTTTGGGGTCTAACAACTAGCAACAAGTTAAAAGAATAATAATAAAAATAAAATACTTCAGTAAGTGGGCTAGAGAAGCGGCAGGCAGCCAGGCACCAGCCACAGCAGGAATACAACAGCGGCAGCGACTCGATTTGCCCTAGCCGTCGGCCGCGGTCTACCACCACCACCAAGGTAACGACATTCATGTCCTCCTCCCATCGTTGACATTCTGCCTCTAGTAATCGCCGATTATAACCATAATTTCACATTGATGAATTGATTTGACTTTGGAAGGTCGTGATGGATACTCAGCTTCTGAGCTTTAACCAGACCAACCTTTCTATTAAACCCTTGCAGACCCCACCTTTTCGCTTCGCCGGCGTTCACAATTTTAATTATCCTCGATCTCTTTCCTTTGCCAAAGTTACTGCCTTTGAATTCTGAATCTGTCTTGCATTTCGAAATATATCCTTATACTGTAATTGCATTGAATGCTGTTTCAGGATTGAGTTTCAACAGAATAAGGTGTGCAATGAAGTCTTATAAGTTATCAGAACTTAGTCGTGCCGAGGTAGAAAGCCCCAAGGCTCGTCCCAGGATAGATTTCTCTTCTACATTCGGAATGGTGAATCCAATAATTGATGCTGCTCGTGGAAGAGGCGATGCTGCGGCCAAAGAGTCGGTGCTACTTTCATTCTTTAGCTCATTTGTTTCATATGGTTTTGTTTGGTTGATGATTTGGTTTTAGACATCCAGATAGATTTGGATGGAGTAATATTCTTTCCTATTCATCCGTAACTTATGGTTTCATTAGTTTATGGCTCGGATTATGGGCTCTAGGCCATGTGGTACCCACTCTCCAACCCTGCTCTCACAGAAAATAATTTTATTTTTTGAAATTTTTCGAATTTAGGGAATTTATTAATTTCATGGAACAGTAAAATTAAGGAAACCTTATTGTAAAGTGTTTGTTTCATGGAATCAATAAAATATGAAAAATGAAAAATATGAGTAGAAAATTTCTACTATTTTTCAAACTAAATATGCTTTAAAAAGTAATGATACTGATAATTTAGTTAAATAAAGTGTTTGTTTTTTAATTTTTTAAATTACTAAAAAAGCTTAAATAAAGAACATATTATAGGACTAACGTCCATAAATTTCCTTTAAAATCCCGTTTGATTTGAGAAAAATAAAGTTTCCTTGCCTTCTGTCCTCAAAGAAAACGAGCTATATCTCATGTATCAATCACTAATCAACATGATTGTACGTTTATATAACTTAAACTTAAGATTTGTTTCTTCTATTAGAATGGTATTATCAATAAGACATTTTAGTTATTTTCACATATAAATTTAAACATGATAGTGGTAGTGTGATCAAAATTATCTCTATAAGAATTTTTATAATTTATTCATTTTCTTTTCAACTAGACTAGCTTAATTCTTTTTTTTTTGTTACGAGATTCTCATAATCTCTTGCATATGCTTAGCATTTTGTTAATTAGTAATTGTAAGTAAAATAATTTAGTCACTCAAAAATAATATAATATACTATTGGGAGTAAACATGTTGGAGTAATAGAATAAACTTAATAATTTAAAAGAAAAAATTACCATGATGATAAATTATTTGGTAATCCAAATTCTAAACACTAATTATTGCTTTTTACATAGCGGTGCCTTATAAACGCAGGAATGTTATGGAACAATTCAGCTAAAAATTCTAACTAACTAAGTAATCTTAATTTAATCTTCCTATAACAGACTCTAACCAACTCTAAACTTTAGCATCCATTGTTAGCCACCATTGACGGCTCAGCTTGCAAATGGGACCGTATCACATGGAGATGATACGACTTGTCCTGAGTGATAAGGGGAGATCTACTGGAGGTCCATACTAATACTGGTTTTTTTTTTTTTCTTTTTTTTTGAGAAAACACATACTGGTTGTTTTACGATGCCGTTTATGTGATGACATTCGATGATTTTTTTTATATATCGAAAAAGTTAGTTATTTAATATCATATAAATTTAAATATTTAATTCTAACCTCAACATCATATAAATATAAATTTGGATACCCAACACTTTCCTCAAATCGAAGCACATCATTGGACATCCAATGATGATCACCAGAGTTGGGATTGGTAAAGGGAGTGGCGAAGATGATGTCAATAACATAGAATCATTACCACCCCTTCATGATTGATTGAGATTCTCTACGTGATATGTGGGCCCAACAAGCTCCAAAGTAGAAGGTCCAACCATTTTCTTTCTTTGGTAAGTAAAGC